GTACCACTAGCAGCAAGTGATGGTGGGTGTGGTGATGGTGTTAGTGGTGCTGGTGCTGGTGCTGGTGCTGGTGCTGGTGCTGGTGCTGGTGCTGGTGCTGGCGCTGGCGCTGGCGCTGGCGCTGGTGCTGGTGCTGGTGCTGGTGCTGGTGCTGGTGCTGGTGCTGGTGCTGTCTGTGGTGGCTGGCTTTGGTGGTGGCGGTGGCCGTGGCGGTTGCGCCAGCCGGTGGCGGCGGTAGTGCTGGATGCTGCTTCTTGCCACATGTTGCTGCTGTAGGTGAAGCTAGGCGACTCCAGCCTGACAAAGTCAGATCACCCCCTGTAGTCGAAAGCCAAATGATTGCTTAGAGACCGATGGTTGTTACAGAAAGAAGCAAAGCCCCCGCCAGCAGAGCTACCGATAGAAACCCGCGAGCACTGCCTTTGTTCACGTTTTCAAGGAGCGGCCTGAGCATCAGAGCCCGCCGAAGTGGCACAGAAGCCTCGACAGAAGGGCAACAACCACCCGGAGACATGGCTGCAGCTTCGAAGGTGTCCCAGAGCACCGGCAACAAACGTAATATACTTGTCTAGAACTGCAACAGAGTTCGCATCGGTTCGGAAAGAAAAGCAGGAAAGTAATACTCACTGAACTACTTGTGACAATGCCCCGAACCTCAAGTGTTAAACCCTACACACCCTGGTTCTTTGCTTTCCTTTTTGATCCGAGGATAGTCTCCGGAGAGCTTTCGGGGGCGAAGGCGCTGGTGGCCCTATCGACTGTGACCCTGCAGAAGACAACATCTCAGCCGCGTCCTGGAATGCAATTGCTAGTGCTGTGGTGGTGTCTAGGATGCCTGCCTGTGCTACCCCTACTATTATTTCAACAAGTAGAGTAGTGAATGTTATGACGATTAGCACAACTATAGTTTCTACGCCCCTGAACCTTCGCTTTTCATATAAAATCATGATTTACAGCCCCTCTTCGAATGAAGGTTATATACATACGTATATATATATATATATACCAATCCTCGGAACGGGGCTTTTGACATGGAGGTAGAGTTGGAGGTCTGCATTAGCGGGCTTTATATTAACATTTATACACTCTTCGCCAAGCCTTTGTCAAACTTGTTAAATCCGGTGAAACCATCTCTAGAACCTCGAACGACACTCCTTATAAGTCCTAGTCAAAAACCGTAGACACCCTCGCAGAGCCCCAAAAGCTATACCTTAAACCCTAACCCGTATCAGCCCTAGCCCCTAAACCTTGAACCTTAAACCCTAAACCCTAAACCCGAAACCCTAAACCCTAAACCCGAAACCCTAAACCTGAAACCCTAAACCCTAAACCCTAAACCCTAAACCCTAAACCCTAACCCGTATCAGCCCTAGCCATGAGGAGCCAAGAGAAGCCTCCGAGCTCCGCGCCGGCGCGGGTCGTTTCCCTGGAGCGCTTGGCGGAGCCTTGGCTTCAGGGGTTCAGGGTTTAGGGTTCAGGGTTCAGGGTTTAGGGTTCAGGGTTTAGGGTTTGGGGTTTAGGGGTTTAGGGTTTAGGTTTTCGGGGTTTAGGGTTTATGGTTCGGGGTTTAGGGTTTAGGCTTCAGGGTTTAGGTTTGCGGGTTCAGAGTTCAGCGTTTGGGGGTTCAGGCTTTAGGCCTGGATGCAAAAGGTTTTACAGGGATCAGAGGCCGTTCAGGGCCTATACAAGTCATTATAGGGCTTTTACGAATGTTTGAGTTTAGGCGCGAAACAGGAAGGGCGTATCTACCCATGGGCCCCATCGTAGTTCCTTTGCGGGATTACCCTATAGGATTCCAAACAGAAAGGAACTACTATGGGGCGTATGGGTAGGCTGTAGACACGGATCATCAGGGTTTCAACCCTCCGGATCTTCCATTTTCCAACTGCCCTCTGATCGAAGTACACAATCTTCGTGACGATAAGGCCCCCCCCCCCCTAGGCCCCAAAGCGGCATAGCGTTGGTCGCCGTGTTGTTTCAAGTTTCGCAATGTCGTCTTGGTAGTGGAGAGGTTGGGAACAATCTCGGTGTTGCGAATCTTCAGAGTCAGACGAGTGAGGCTTCTCATTGCTGTGTTCGACTCTATAGTTGTCGAGGGTACATGAGGAAGCCGAAGAGCCAATGCAGGCTGCACACATGCGGATGTTGCATCCTTGATTTTCGTGTGGCTCCGCGGCAACATCCGTAGCAAAATCCACCCATCGCCATGGCAGCCTACATCCAACGAACCCGCACAGGCCCTGGCAGTTCCAAAGCGGCGCAAAAGCAAAAGCGATGAGGCCGGGGAGTCGCGGCCTTCAGGCTTAGGAAGCTTATAGGCCTTACGAAGCTTAGTTTCGGATTTTTGGCTTTAGGGTTTTTTTGGCAGAGCCTGGGTTCAAAAAAAGGGGGTTTTCTTTGAAGTCGGGGACAGGTCGGAGGCTTACCCAGAAGGGAAGCGACATCGGACAGAAATACCTCACCCGAGCATGGGAGCTTTCAGGCCGTTAATTAATTAAAGCTTCGGTTAAGGAGTTCTAAACCCGACCTTCGCGCAAGGCTCAAGTTGAAATGCTTGCTCCTGGCAGGCTGGCACCCTGACCCCTAAACCCTAAATCCTAACTTGCTAAAGTATGCGTCTTTGTGGCCACATGCTGTGCGAGCAGGACACGGTTCGAGGTTTAGGCTGAGTTGAGGTTCTTCCGGCGTAAAACAAACGTCACATCAACAGCAAGACTCCACAGCCACAAAACACTACCCTAAACCCTAATCCTTAAAGTCGTGCAGGAGGGAAAAGGGTCGTGCAGACAAGCCCTAAACACTCCAGGAAGCAGCTCAGTCCTCGACAGAAGGGGCCGTGAGAAAGCCCGGCGACCGACCGGTACGCAAGGCGAAAGAGGCCTCCGGCAAGGAGGAAGCTTGGCTTACTGTAAGGCCATGTGCCCAGAGGGGTTTCGAAACCTCGGTCAGAAGATTGGGGTACATGATTACTGGGCCACCATAACTAATTAGAAGCATCTCCTTCAAAAGGGTGTATAGTCTATAGGGCCCCTTTCCATTTTCTGGGTCTGCCATAATATGATTCCGGAGTTCTGGGGGGTTGATACGCCAAAAATACCCCGCAACTATCACCAACTGGCTGTAGGGTTTCCAGCATAGGGCGTATAGTACATGAGGCTTTCTGTAGAGTGGAGGAGAACCAGGCCCATTCCTGATAGAGGTTCAGGGTACGATTGATTCCCGTTTGGTACATTAAGCCGAACTAACAGTCCCAACCGCGACCTTAAATGCACAACCCGGTGTGCTAGAACAGCTAACCACACCAAGTTTGACCCTGAACCCCCGCAACAAGTGCAAAAAAAAACACGAAGAGCACTGCAACCGCAAGAACCCTAAACCCTAAACGCTAAATGCCTGAGGCCTTACACTGGTCTGAGTGGAAACCGAAAGCCCCAGAGCTGTTCGACCTGCTGCCCCGAGCCCTTAGACCCAAAAGCCCCATAGTAGTTCCTTTTTGGGCTTCATAATATATATAGAATCCTATAAGGTCATCCCAAAAAGGAACTACTATGGGGCCTATGGGTAGGCCCAAAAGCCCTCCACCCCCAGCCTAGGCGAGAGCCGAGCTGCCTCCTGCTTCTGCAAAGCCGACACCCACACCTGCGAGGCTTTTTGTTGACACATTTTTCGTTCAGGATGTGGAAACGATTCAGGGTGTCTGACTTGGGTTTAACACAGGTTCCGGGCTCATGCAGTTTAGGGTTTAGACTGTTGAATTCACTTCGTGAAGAGTTTCGGGTTTGGCGTATCATTGATCAGTGCAGCTTTTCTTTGCTGGGTTAGGTGGCGGGATTCTGTTCAGGCTGCGTTACACTCTAAGACTCTAGGCCTGTTGAGCCCTATAAAGCCTAAACCATTCTGGGTCTGAACCTTCGGGTGTGGGACTGCTTATTTGGGGATATTTTGGCCCATCATGTGGTTGACCTTTTCATGACTGGGCGCGTGTGTTGAAGAAAGTGTTTTCGGTTTACCATGGCAGGGGTGGGCGGGTGGCTGTGTCTACACAAGATACATAAACATACGTGTACGTGTTCGTATACTTGTACTTGTATGTGTATGTATGTCTGCATATATGATATGTATGTATGCATGCATGTCAGTATGTATGCACTTCTGTTTGTCTGTATGTATGTACGGCGAGCTAGGTGTTTCGTTGTCAGTATCTTTATAAACCTGACCACCGTTCCCTGCCATCGCTGATGTTCCAAACCTTGGGACGCCACCCAGGGTGGGCACCTCGGCTTGGGAGACCAGACCTATACAGGTTACTAGTTACTGGCTTATGAAATCTCTTCTAGGGTCTTCCAGAGTAGCAACTAGCAACCTACGATGTAAGTAACGAGCTTTCAGGCCAGGAGGTAATTACTTGTTTCAGCCGCCTGGAGTTGCGGGCGACGTATACGATGCATACTATCTACACCATGTCGCGGGTTTGTTGAAGATGGAAACGAGCGAGCATGGAGCGGTATCCCATTTGCCTTACATGTAGTTCGGCCGCCTTCTTCTTCTGGCTAACGTACTGCCGCAATCGGCCAATCTTATTGTCCCAATGCAAGCAAAGCAGTGTTGGATCCATGCTCTAAGCCCGATCCCCTTAAAGCGCTAAAGCTCAATACCATAAACGAAGGTCACCCTAACCTGCCAGGTACCTACTATATAGGGCCCTAGGGGCTCTAGTACCCTAAATAGTAGGTACCTGGGGGGTTAGGGTCAAGCGAATGTTATCATGGAGCCGGGAGACTAGAGTTAGAGAGAGGAATCGGGCGCCAGCCAGACACAGCGATGGCGAAAACATCGGGCCCCTTGGTTGCTCTAGGGTTTAGAGTTTAGGGTTTAGATGGTTTAGGGTCTATAGGGTCTAGGGTTTAGGGTTTAGGGTTTCTCCGGGCGATGTGGAAAGCCTGTTGCAAAAGGTTTAGGGTTGGCTGCTGCGGTCGAAGCCTTGGATTCAGAGGACAAACCGTGAGCTGTGTTACAGAGGTCCTACTGTTGCAGTGTGAGTCGAAGTCCCGGCGACAACTTATAAATACGCGAGTCTGCCGTCTGCCGCTGATGATCTTCAACCGTTGAAACCTGAGCTGGAACTACCTAAACCTGAGTTTTAAGGTTCGGGGGCTGACGATTTAAGGTTTATGGGGCTTAGCGTTCTGGAACAAGAACTGGTATACTGCAAGTGTTGTCTCTTTTGGGTACGACGCCCTGTCCTAACGCAAGCATGTCTGATCTTCCAGTTCCTGCTGTTGCTCCTGCTTTTGCGCTTGTCTCCGGGACGCTTTGAGTTCATATGTAGCAGCGCACTGCGTCGGAAGAAGGCTTCGGCAGTGCTGGTTTATGGAAATGATTTCTGGTTTAGGGCTTGTATAACACTTTCCTGGCTACCCACTCTTATGGCCTATGGGAGACCATGAAGGCTTTGGTGACGCGTGCTTGGTGGGGTCCTGGCAGGGATCAGAGTTTGAAGTTGGCATGGTTTTGGGCCTGGCCACAGAAATGCCACTCAGAACAGTTTCCCGTCTCCATGTCTCCCACGAACCTAAAGCGCATCCATGCCATGTTGGTGCTCAACCGTCTATCTCTCCAAGCTACAAAGCTCTCTCTAAACCCGACCTGCGGTTTCATTGAACCATTGTAGGTTTCTCTGCATATCTTTCCATCATGGGGTCCTTTGGTGAGGCAAACAAGCAACTACACTGCAGACTGACTAAAGGTAAACCCTGGCCTCAGGCCTACCACGGACAAAGGCAGGGGCCCATACCCCAGCCAGCGCGCTGGGAGCGAGCGCAGCAGCCAGAAATCCCCCACCCCCAAACCCAAAGCCGCCCAGCCCCAGAAGCAGAAGGAGAAAATGTCCTCGACTTCGGTCGCATCTTCTCTGCAGCCCAATTCTTCCATCCCCGAAGATGGCCCACAGAGCCACAGTCCCTTGCAGCCGCTTGGTCTGGGAGGGGTCCAGACCTCGACTTCAAACACGAGCCTCGATTGCAGTTGCGGTTGCGATATTCTTTTGAGGTGCATCTCGGTATGGAATTAGGAAGGGAGAGCACAAGAGAGAGAGAGAGATACAAACGGAGAGACAGTGCCAACCTGAACAACCTGAACGCTAGGCCTCACAGCGCATGCACTACACCCCGAACCCAATCCAAGGCAGAGACGAACCCGACGAAATAGAACAACGAGAGCTTAGTTAGGACAGCTGCAGCCGCCGAGTGGATTCGAAAGAACTGATGCACGCACACATACACGCGCTGGCTATATCTCTCTCTGTCTCTCTCTCTCTCTCTCTCTCTCTGTCTCTCTCTCTCTCTCTCTCTCTCTCTGTCTCTCTCTCTCTCTTTCTTTCTTTCTTTCTT